ATTAAAATCATTACACATTACTGTAGTCGGGTTATCAACTTAATCAACTTGTTCAGCCAACCCATAGTGGGAGCTTAATGACTGACCCTGACTATCACGCACTTGAACAAACTTTGCATACATCTCAATATCGCCATCTGAATAATTACTTTGAGAATCAACCATCATTTCAACATCATCATTGTTTGCTAGTTCGAACGCTGTATAAGTTAATGGCAACAATGATGTTGGAAATCTGTACTGCAATGACGACATTCTTCTACTACTTCCAATATAAACCTTCCTCGAAATCTTCGTTATCAACTCCTCAAGAGTTATGTTTCTCTTAAATGATATTTTAACACGCTCATTTGATATGAAAACAACGCAGGTTTTATCATCTCGAATTTCTCCATCATAAAAAACAATAGCTGAAAGTCGCACCATTCTTAGAGTTTAAAAGTGCGACAATATTATATCTGCAAAAAAACAACTGAAACAAACTTAATTAAATAAATAATAAATGAATGCAAATATAGCACAATAAAAAGTTTACACATAAACGTAAATAATTTAAATAATATAATTTTATATTATTACCTGCACCGTAAAAATATTTCGACATATGCTCCTGCTTTCTAATTTTACAAACACAAAAATTAATTGAAAACAATTAGTATAATATTTTTTCAAATAATCATATATAATTATAAAAAAATATTATAACAAAATTACCTTATAACGAAATATCGAACGAACTTCTGAATCAAATATAAGAGGATTATCGGGTGTTATTTACTGGTTAAAAGGATTGTTGTATTAATTTCTCGGTTGAGAGGGAGTTGTGAGAGAGTTTACGGGGAGAGGGCTATTTATAGCCGAGAGAGGATGCTTTAAAGCCGAGAAGTTCGCTTCAATTATGCAAGGCGCGGTCCCTGCACCGCGCCTTGCATAATACATGTATGATAATTGAGCATGTGATAATTGAAAAGCGCGACCCCTGCACTGCGCTATAGCCCTACGTGGCGTAAGGCGCACCCCAGGGGCTGCGCATTAGCCACGTGTGTCCGACTCAGCATAAGGTGCGCTGCATGGGGCGCCTTACCCCACATGGCGACAGATCAGCCTAAAGCGCGCTGCAGGTGGCGTGTCTTTTTGCAAAGGGTGTTATATCAGGAAATATAGTCTGAACGGTGCCTGACATGGAATTAAAGATGAAAAAGATGATTTATCGGGAAAATCGCCAATTTAAATAGTGTAATTTTAATAAAAGTTAGAAAAAAATAGTGCAATTTTCTTATTATTATATAGGGTAAATTATATCATTGTCCACCTAACTATTGTCTCTTTTCATTTTGACCACCATTTTTGAATTATTTTAAAATATATTTTATTTTTATCTTAACTTATTAAATATATTTTATTCTTATCTTAACTAAAAAATGTGTTTTATTTTTATCTAACTAAAAATATATTTTAATCTTATCTTAACTTAAAAAAATATATTTTATTTTATCTTAATTTTTAAAAATATATTTTATTTTTATCTTAACTTATTACATATATTATATTATTAATTTAAATTATTAAATATATTCTATTCTTACCTTAAATTATTAAGTATTCTTTATTATTATTTTAACTTAAAATATATATTTTATTCTTATTTTAATTTAAAAATATATTTTATTTTTATCTTAATTAAAAGATATATTTTATTTTTATCTTAATTTTAAAATATTATAAGAATAAAAAAATAAATATTTAAGTAGTATCTTTCCACTTATAATTTTTTCTATAAGCTTACTTAAGTTTGTAGTTTGAGCATGATATTTGTTTAAATATACATTTTGTAACACCCTCAATCCAGTTTAAATGAAAATGTCGCGAAATTCAGTCGAAACTAAACAAGAAGTGGAATCATGAATATCAATCAATTTTATCCTTAATTCTCATTCAATTTCTCTTACAACCCAATTATTAAGCATTCTTAACTTAAAATCAAGTCCGGGGACTAAATTAAATTATTTAAAAAGTTAAAGGACTTATTTGTAATTAACACAACTTGAATACTTCCATTCATCATATGATATTAGGACTCATTCAAGGTATGATGAAAAATTTTACAAGCAACTAAATAGATGACTGAGGTCTCCAATGAGTTTTCTATGGAAAAAGATTGGCAACAGCTCTGAGTTGACCGTATATCAAGTCTTTTTCCTCTTTCCATTTAATTGGTACGACCAACAAATAAGTGGAGGTATTTAACACTTCGTTGCCAAATAACAACTTTGCTATAGCACCACGCAATTATTAACATAAAATTATTTATAGCATAAAATAACTTTATCATTAACATAAATATTATAAAAGTATAACAATTTAAATAGTGTAATCTTAATAAAACTTAGAAAAAATAGTGTAATTTCTTATTTATGATTATAATTAATGTGAAATGGGGAATATGTTCTAAGTTAATTAATCTACGTAAAGTATCATAATTAACATGTCTGAGTCTACCATGTCATAAATTTAATGACTCAATCATATAAACAGAAGAAGAAGAAGAAGAAAAACCATTCTTATTTATATTTTTAGCTTTTACAGAGATAGCATTGAGTTTCCAACATATTGTTCAATAAATATCCCCTTCCCACAAATATTTCCCTTTTTGATAAAATTAACTTCTGGGATTCAAACACCATCCTAAAGTCATGTATACTTAGGAGGGTCCCAGAGACAAGGTTCTTTTGTCTGTCAAGTACATACAACACATTTTGAAGTTTCAACTCATTGCCAGAAGTCATCTTTAAAATTACAATGTCTTTCCCCTTGATCTTGGAAGTTGCAGCATTACCCATATAGAGTTTTTCTCCTTTCTCACAAGAAACCAACTCAACAAAGGAGTCCTTGTCACAACAAATATGGCGTGTGGCACTAGTATCAAACCACCATTCTCTTGGATTTGAATCAACCAAGTTAACTTCAGAGACCACAACACATAGGTCAAGTTCATATACTTCCTTGGAAATTTTTGCCGCAACATTAGCCTCTTTTGTTCTGGATCTTTTTGGAAGCCTACATTCGGATGACATATGTCCCGTCTTATTGCAATTAAAGTACTTCCTTTGGAATATTTTCTTTTTAGAAACACTGCCTTTTGGTCCTAGTTTAGACTCAATTTGAGATTGCTTTCTTTTCTTGAAGTCCTTTTTTACTTCCACCACATTTGCCTTGGCAATGTTATGATTGTCTGTTTTGTTTAGCCTTTTAGCTCACATTGATTATCTTCTTCAATCTGAAGTCTCACAATCAGATCTTCCACTGTCATTTCTTTTTTGTTATACTTAAGATAATTCTTAAAGTCATTCCAAGCAGGCGGAAGTTTTTCAATAATGGTTGCCACCTAAAAGGATTCACTTATAATCATCCCTTTTGCGAGAATACCATGAATGATCAGTTGGAATTCTTGCAATTGATTCACAACAGTTTTAGAATCAACCATTACAAAGTTTAAGAATTTGGCAATTAAGAATTTCTTAGCACCAGCATCTTCAATATTGTATTTATGGTCCAATGATTCCCATAGTTCCTTAGCCGTTTTCTTTATGTTGTATACTTCATAAAGTGCATCAGATAAACCATTCAAGATGTAGTTACGGCATAGAAAAGTAGAGTGCTTCCATGCTTCGGTAATGTTGAATGCGATTGCAGCATCCACTTCATCCTCTCTAATAGTAGGAGGATAATCTTTCAAAAATTTGGCCAAATTCAATGTCATCAAATAAAACAACATTTTCTGTTGCCATGTTTTGACTCTCCATAGAATTTCGCAAGCTTTTCAATATGACTCATGGGCATAGGTAATGTTTGGCTCGCAGTCTGAGTCTTTGTAGCGACAATCGCATTAGACTGTGAATTGGATGAAGTATCAGACATTTTTCTGTAATCGGAATCAAAACCGAAATAATAAATATAATATGAAACGAAATATATATTAACCTAAATATATTACCACGGTGATCTGTTTGAGTTTAGATTGATCTACAACACAAGAAATCTGTCTTAAGATTGTTGCAAAATATTGAAAAATAGTGTTGTATTATTATAATCTAAAAATTTTGTTTCAATAATAAAATTAAAAAAATGTGAAATTAAAATAGAACATGTAATCGGATGGAACTGAATAAATAGAAGAAGAGTTTTGTTGAGGCTTGTATGAACAGTTTCCTTAAGACAGATTCGTCATCTCCTCGGTGCTTTGAGTAACGTTGGACGTCGGTCTCCCAAGATACAACAACAAACATTCACAACAGTAAGCACAACCGTAGTGAACAATCAAACATAATCTTTGTCTTTATCTATCACCGAAAAATGACTTTGGAAGAATCGGAGAATTGAAAGGAAAGTATTTGAAAGAAAATAGTAAAAAGTTGGGTGTTGAGATGTGTCACAACTTAGCCTTTATATAGGGAGATGAATTTGTATTAAAAGGTTAAGACCTTTAAATGAAATTACTTAACCATTTGATTAAAAATTATAACCTTTTGATCAAAAGGTTAACATGAAAAGACTTGACTTTTGGGGTGAAATGAAATAACTATTTTTCATGGAAAGACTTAATTATTTTTCATGAATAGAGATGTTGAATAGTCATGATTGAATAAATCAATTCATTCATATTTTTCCAACAATTTGGAAGGCCCTTCCTCTCCACATCGGTACAAACAATCCATTGATCAACAAGCCGATGTTAATGCATTTTTCTGCTCAAATGATTCCTTTAAGTATCAATATAATGCCTGTTTTAGTCCTGCTACAGGTCTCAACTCAGATAAAAATTCTCCACAAGTTGACACTACTCAAGTTAATTGTTTGATAGGACCAAGTTAAGGGATAGCGAACACCACTTGGTACCCTGATTCAGGAGCGACGCACCACGTGATGAATGACTTGAAACCATTGCAAGCATCTTGCAGCCATAGTGGTTCAGGTAAGGTACATATTGATGATGATTCGACTTTGACTATTGGTCATATTATACAGTCCTCAATAGCATGTTAACTAAGTCTCCATTAATGATATATTGCAAGTTCCACGAATTACAAGGAATCTTTTTTCGATGTCTAAAACTGCTAAGGATGATAAAATATTTTTTTGAGTTTCATTTGAATGAGTACCATGTGAAGCACGAGCACACTAGAAGAGTGTTGCTGAAACGGGTATAGGAAGGTGAACTCTACATGTTTGATGCTTTACCAAATTCTCTTGATATTCCAGAGTTGATGCTATTCGTATATTCGACGACCCTATAACAGACACAAGCAGGATTACCATTCTCAACCGTGTGTCTTTATCGGATATTCACCCTCACATCATGTTTATCAGTGTCGTTCAGCCAATGGACGAGTGTTTATATCATGACGCATTGTCTTTGATGAGTAAATATTCCCCTTTGTTGTTTACAAGTTCTTTGTTGCCAAGTAATTCTATTTTTGAGTCACCCTCACTTACCATACTACCTTGTGTCGACCTAGCTTCTAGTGTTACACAAGTTTCGTACCAGATTCAAGCACCAGATTAGCTCCAGAGGGCACTTTTGGTTCTGCTACCAGCGGTGCTATGTAGACTAATTACTCAGGATCTTTGTCAGTTTCAGCAGCTGCTAATGAACTAGCAAATGAATTCAGCACAACATGTGTGGTAGATGCAGTTAAGGATAATGTGCTTGATAGTGTTATCTTCGATTCTAAGACACTGACGAGCCGTTCGAGTAACACACATACAATGGTCACACGAAGAAAAGTAGTGTCTTCAAGCCTAAAGTCTCTATACAAGTCATCATATTGATGTTCCAACCACTATTCATGAAGCCTTGCAATCTAACTGCCAATGGCACATATGAATTGGTAAAATTATCGCATGATAGGAAACCAATTGGTAATAACTAGCTTGCCTATTCATGACAAGTTTACGTTAAACCTGGTTGTGTTGCCTATTCATTTAGTTTATGTTAAGTAGTTGTGTATTAATGAGCTTCGTAAAGCTCATCATTCAAATTATTTCTCCTCATTAGATTTTGATTTCTTTTGAGTTAGAGCATCAAATCCTATAGGGAGTTCAAACGATAATCATATTCAAGTAAAATATTTATTCGCTTTAGTTGCACATGTACTGTTTGTAAGATCTTTACTTAGTAATTTATGCATGTAACACTACAGCAAAACTGTTCTACAACGGCGTTTTGAGAGAAAACGCCACTAACATTAAATATATAGCGGCATTTACATTTCAAACGTCACAAAATTGTATCTTTAGCAGCGTTTTTATACAAACGTCGCTGTAGACAGTAAATTTTTATATCATTTTTATTAGTATTATTATTTTTATTATTATTAATATTATTATTAATAATATTTTTATTATTATTAATATTATTATTAATAATAATATTATTATTATGTTATATTATTATTATTATTATTAAATAATAAATAATTTTATTTCAGGCCCAAAACCTGACCGGCCCAGTGGCCCAACTAGAATCAACCCAAGACCCGGAGGCCCATTTTACAACTAGAATCGGCCCAGCTAAACCCTAAAACCAGATTACAGTTTCCATCTTCTCAGCCAGCCACCTCAGCTTGCTGCCGTTAGATCTAGTCTTGATCCAACGGCCCAGATGGTACCAACAGCAAACCCTAGGGTTATGATACCCTAGGGACCACGCGGCGCCGCATCCACGTCTATACTCCACTGTCGACACCGTCGCGTCCAACATTGCTGCCACGACGCCTGTCGAAGCACCCAGAATAGTCATTCCAGCCGTCCATGCGTCCCATTCTTCGGTGAGTCACCACAGGTTCGGTGACTCACCAAAACTCATCTCTGGGACCGGTTCGAGAGCATCCTCGGTGGTGGCTATAAAAGCCACCACACCTGTGAAACCAAAAAAATCGACAGCAACCAACACCAACAAAAAACACCGAGAGCAAGCACACCCACAACGACAAACAACAACCAAAACAAACAATCAGCAAAGGAGAAAAGAGAATGAGACTTACCAAGAAAACTACGCGATCGTCAGAGCTTCCCCTCGGCGTTGAAAAACTGAAACATCTAAGGTAAATAACCTTATATCTAAGTAGAATAAAGGGGATTTAGGGAAAAAAGAAGTCGGATTTGGCCTTTAGAGGTTGAGATCTCTATTTTAGATAAATTTAGGGGTTTTCAGCCACCAAAGTTAGTGGCCGGCGGCGGTGTTTGCAACGGCCTAAGGCGGCCGGTCGTCGACCGGTTTCCCTTCGGTGAGGGAAACTTAGAGAGAATGCAGAGAGAATTATATATCTCTCTCTAGAGAGAGAAAGGGAAAAAGAAATGAAAGGCTTAGAGCCTTTCTTGACCAGTTAAAGGGTTTATATACCCTCTCCCAAACGACGCAATTTTGGGGGGAGGGTATCTCTGTAAAACCCTTTCCGCAACCCCTCTGATTTTGTAATCTTTACAAAAATATCACTACAAGTTATTTTTATTTATTTTAATTTGGTATTCTAATTTTAATATATTATGTTTTGGTCCTTTCTAGTATAATTATATATTTTAGGGTAAATATCTATTTAGTTCCTTTAATTTAATTAACTTTTATTTTAATTCCGAATAAATTAATATTGGTTAAATCACATTGTTAATACTTAGATTTTTGTGATAATTCGAAATTAGGCTCTTAATTGCTAATATTTTATATTTTAATACTATAATTTTAATTTTATTTATTTCAGTCAATGTTAATTATTATTTAATTTTATATGTTTATTTTTAATATATTTAATTATTACTATTATTTAGTCATATAAATATATATAAATAATATTTATTTATTTATTTAAAAAAATCCTATTTATAAATTTAATTTTATATAAATTACTTTTAGGAAAAATAATCATATTTTAATATTTATTTATTTTTTAATATTAAAAAATAAGCTGTCTTAAAGCACCTATAAGTCATTTTCTGATATTCTTAAATAAATAAATATTCTATTTTTATAAATTATATATTAATTTATTTTAATTATTTTTAGAGAAATATTTTATTAATATTTATTTGTTTTAATATTAAGAAATGGACTGTCTTAAAGCACATAGAAGGCCTTTTCTGATATTTCTAAGTAAATAAATATCTTATTTAAATATAAAAAATATATACATAAATTAATATATTTTAAAATAATTGGATTATGAATTAAATATATTTTTGAATTCTTAAATTTCCAATAATAGAGACAATTTATAATTAATGAGTACCAATTTTGGGCGTTATAGGGGTGTTAATCCTTCCCAAAATGTAACCGACCACGAATCCTTTTTTATTAAAATTTTTTGGTTAAACGCAGACCAGTTTATCTTTTAACTGATGTTTTCTTAAAAACTCTTTTAAAAGATTATTTTTAGGTATTTGACCTACCTAACCCAAAAAGGTCGATGGCGACTCCCAAAACATTTCAATAAATTTCATTTATCCATATTATTTTTCCCGCCAAGTAAAAATTTCGTGTCCGGGCAAAAACCGGTTACGACAGCTTGGCGACTCCGCTGGGGACCGGTCAAGCTTTTAAATTAATTATAAATTGTCTCTATTAATTAGAAATTAAAAATTCATATTTATTTAATTTATAATTCTTTTCTTTCAAAATTTTTATATACTTATGGTTTTCATTTATATATATTCTTCTTTATTAATGTTTTTTAATTTCATATATTAAATTTCATTTTTTAATTGTTTGTCAAAGGTTTGAATATTTCTCTTCACACACCACACTTGCATTGCATAACATAAGCTTTATAATCAAGCTTGTCCCTTTTAAGTGGGAGTGAAAGCAACGTCTTCATGAGAATTTATTCTCCGTGTCAGACATAGCAAGTAGCTTTCGGGGTTCATATGCTCTATGTCTTCGTGAGAATTTATTATCCGTGTCAGGCATAGAGAAATGCGTCCCCTCGAATTGAACTCGATTCGCTCAAGTCTATAGTGGACTAGGATTGAGGGTTTACCAGCCCAAGGGGCACTAACAAGGACAATTCGGGTACCTTTACTCCTAGAACTGAAACCCTGCATATAATAAACCCTAGAAATTCTCCTTATCTAAGACAATACTGAAACCCTGTCAGCAGGTGTACACAAAAGAGAAATAAGCTCTAGTTTTTAATTTAATTTTATTTTATTTTTCTGAATAAATGCATGTGAACTAGAAATCATGCAGTTAAGTTATTTTTTCCAAACAAAGCATGGAATTAGAAAACATGAGGTTAGGATTTATATCTTGATAGATAGAATTTTTCTTTTCATTAGTTGGTACTAACCATTTTTATTTTTTTCTTATTTTTTATACATGTTATTTTGCTTTAACTTTTTTATATTGATTTCTTTTGTTTGCATTGCATGATCATGGCATAACCAAAAGGTGTTGACTTGAAAGACTGTTCATCAAATTAGAAAGAATTCATAAATGGACAAAAAGTTTTATGATCAAACAAAATATGACGAAACCAAAGAAAGATATCCTGAGGAAACTCCGAGGATAGAAGTTAGCTATGCACACAAAGATACTGTTATATCAATACCAAAAGTATTCCACAAAGATCCTGTTAGATTGATACCAAAAGCATTCTACGGTAAGAGTATCAGTCAAGGCATTCATAATAAAGGAGGTTTTTATGAAGCTCAAGCATGTTATTTGAATGATTAAAACAAGAAATTGAGCACAGAAATGGAAACCATGCATGAAGATTTCCAGAAGATCAATCAAGCCTTCAAAATACTGGCATAGGAAATACCCCAGAAGAGTGGATAACATGGGTCACCAAACTGAAAAAGAACTACAACATATATGAAGACCTCGTCCAAGAACTTCTTGGACGAAAAGGTTCTCTTACAAGGGAAAATGAGCAACTCCGAGAATTGACACAGAAGATGAAGGAAAAAGAGAATGACATGGAAGAAGCCGTAGTCCCGACAAACTTTTGAGCATGAATGGAAACTAACTTGGCTTTAGAGAAGTTAGAAGGGAAAGTTATCCCCTATATGTAAAGTTTTGTTGAAGTTAGGACTGAAAGTTGTCCCCTACATGTAAAAGTTTTGTTTGATGCACGAAAACTTTTGTGTTCAATGAAATCTATTCTAAGATGATCACTCTTGAGTAACTCCTTTTCATACATGCATTTTCATTTTGCATCTTTTCATTTTCATTTATACTTTTATGTTTGCTTTTGTATTGCACAATTTGCATTCTTATTGTTACATTCACATATTTACATTTGCATTTGCATTTTGCATTTTTGCATTTTCATCTTTGCATAATTACATTTTATTTCAAACTATTTTACATGCATTTAATCATGACAAAGTGGAATAATTAGTGGAAAATTCCATAACAGAATTTTAGCCCCTTTTCTGTGCAGCAGTACAAAAATACTTTAAATCTACAAATTCTGGCTCTACACCGTATAAGTACCGTGAAATTTCGGTCCATACCCCAACTGGAGCAAGTGCCACGTTCTCGTAGTAGAAATAAGAAGGCCTAATAGCATATTCTGGAAGTGGTCTTTGAGTTATCTGATCTGGTTCGGTAGGAACCCCAAAACTAATCATTGGATTTGGAAGATGAACTGCATGATCGTCTTCATTAAGAAGGTTTTTTCAACCTTCCTCTGCTTCTTCTTATGCAAAAAAATCATAGCCCGAGTTTCACATTTTCTTGTAATTGGGATCATTGCATAATGGCTTCCTATCTTCTACCAGAAGAAGTGCGTCAGCAGCATTAGCATTTGAGCAGTACATATAAAATCTTTCAACTCTGCAATTGATGAATCCAGACCACATCTCTCCATGGCTATTGAAGCCTCAGCCTCTGAGTATCCCATTTTCATCGAGTATAACAGTTTATTCTCCTCATCAGAATCAGAATTCAGGATTTCCTCGATATCATAAGAACTATCAATATCTGTGAAATCATCCTGAAAGATCACTTCATAATCAGATGAGTAGTTATCAGAATCAACATGTTGCATGGGTGCGGACTTTTCAAGAGCATGTACCACTATCTATGTAGTTTTACTATTGCATAAAAATAAGATTATTGTTGACTTAAATTGGTTTCTCTCCCACAGAAAAGTATATTCCAGAAATAGCCTTCACTGAAAACAAGGTTTACTGTGTCAGCCTGGAATGAATTACCAAGCGATTTATACCACTATGTCCGACTAGATCCCTCCAGATCCAAAAAAATGGTCACCTCACTCAGAAGAGGCACATATCTCAGACATTTTCGTCAAAATGATTGATTACTTCTTAAAGTTTATGAAAACATGAAGAGAATCTCACAATTTACTTGACAACTGTTGTTCAGTGACATCAGAATGAGAGTATTCAAGATAAACAGATTTGAGGCACGGATAAAGCCGCAAGTACCCACAACAATACATTGTCAAAATTGGACCTCGTAGGGATCATGATATTGAAATCAAACAAACATTGCAAGTAAGCCTTACAGTTTAGAAGGTTGGGGGTATTTTGAAGGCCCAATTTAGACAGATCCATGCGGGACATCATGAAAGCCCTTTTCAACCAGAAATAGAATGGCGGGGCATTTTGAAGGCTCATGGTAATATGAATATTTGGGCATTCTTGGAGGCTCATCTCAGGAAGAAGTAATGTTGAGCATTTTAACATTTGTATCAATAAATGTTGGGGCATTTTAAAGGTTACTTCAGACAGATCCATGTGGGGCATTTTAACATTTGTATCAATAAATGTTGGGGCATTTTAAAGGTTACTTCAGACAGATCCATGTGGGGCATTTTGAAGGCTCAGATTAACAAGAAGCAAATGATGGAGCATGCTGAAAGCCCATTTCAATTATAATCAGGAATATTGACACATTTTGAACGTTTATATTAGCCAATGTTGGGCCATGCTAAAAGCCCTTTTCAATTATAATCAGGAATATTGACACGTTTTGAACGTTTATATTAGCCAATGCTGGGGCATGCTGAAAACCCTTTTCAATCAGAATCAGGAATGTTGATGTATTTTGAACATTTATATTAGCCAATGTTGGGGCATGCTGAAGACCCATATCATCTTATGCAAAAAGATCATTGACTTGAGCAAATATTTCCAATGAGATAGAAAGATATGAAGAATGAAAGTGGAGAAGCGGTGGCAGTCGAGCTGACTATACATAATTACTTCGCTCATCAGGCAGTTGCATTAGGGTCCTATTGTTGAACAAATATTTACTCAGCAAGTATGGTTTCAAATACCCAATCTTCTTAACCATGTGTCACATGACGACGTGTTTTTTTGTTAAGATACATCACGATTGCATGAATAAAGATGGTCCCCATATAGACCATTCGATCCAGGGTTTAGTTCCTCAAAATCTCGGATGTGAATTTTGTATTCTATGTGTCGGTGATGATAGGAAATATTTCTTTGAGATTCCTGACAGTTAGTTTCAATCATGCTGTCAAGGCTATGAAATTATTTTTCACATCAATTTTCGCTTACTTGATGACATTGAAGAAAGAGGCTCATCTTACATACATTACCCTTATTCCCATTGTTACTGGGGTTATCATTTCCAATCAGACTGAACTGAGTTTTCATCTATTTGGTTTATCATGTGCGTTTCATCTACATCAGCAAGACTTCCATGAACCTTGTTTCTGTACATGGATCTTATAGCTGATGTGTTTCTACTTCTTACAATGCTCATTGTGGAATAAAACGTGATCGGTATCACACTTGTCTTGCTCAAGATGATATCAAGATCAGTTGGTATCTCTTATTCAATTTGGCACTATCATATTTTGTGAATTTGACCAACTTTTTGGTCATGAAACACGCCAACATCTCACTTATATTCCCAATGAGTTTTGTTCTCAAGCGGTCTTGTGACATCACAAAAAAGTTCTGAACACTATGAAAGAGCTTCCCTGACCAGAAATCTGTGCAGAAGTTATAGGAAAAGATGAATGTGTTGTCAAATATTTTACGAACATCTGAGCAGAAGTCACAGGAAAGGATGAATGTGTTGTCAAATGTTTTACGAACCAGTAATTATGGTGCTAAACCAATATTGTGATCATATGGTATTTTCATTTATTGATGCAAGATAAAGCCTGTCTTCTTCAACCCCAAGGTTAGAAGTGAGATATGATGAAGATTTATTTCCACGGAAGGGAAGAAAAAATTTTAACAACAAGAAACTAGTGGAGCCAACTAAGATTGAATAGAAGATTGTCGTTAAGCATCTTGACATAATATGGTCTAAATGTCTTTGTTCAAAATCTGATTAGATGTGGAGACATGAAAGGAATTAGGATAAATCCTCCTTGTGATGTGTTTCAAGAGTCAAATCAAAACAGACACTACTCTCCTAATTAATTTATGTTGAGTTTAGCATATTATCGATTCTCTCCTCAAAGATGATAGATTCTCTCTTCAAAGATAATAGATTCTCTTTTCAAAGATAATATATTCTATTTTCAAAGAAGAAAGATTTATTGGATTTCTACGCAAGTTCAGAAAAAGAAAGCCTGTTTTATCAAAGACCAAATGGGGCATCAAGATCATAGTTCTAACTACGGCAAGAGTTCCAGTTTGAAATAATTTTGACTAAGTGAAAGAAGACAGAGTTTTCCACTTTGAGATCAACTAAAAATAAACTTAACATTCATGCATCATATTTAGACATTTGCAAAAATAGGGGCATTTTCATTCATTTTATTCATGTTGAATATTTGACAGGAATCTCAAAGATTTTAGCAAAGATTCAAATCCATCATTCGATGGATCAACTTTTCCAGAGAAAGTTCATAATGAGAAGAACTTATCAGAAGAGGAAGAAGAAGTTCATAATGGGAAGAACTTGTTCAACCTTTTGCATAACGCTATCGCAGAAGGAGATAGATCAACATTAATATTTCCAGAAGGAGTTCATAATGAGAAAAACTCATCTGAAGAAGGAAGAAGAAGTTCATAATGAGAAAAACTTGTTTAACCTTTTGCTCGAATTCATCACTCAATGGATCAACTTTTCCAGAGAAAGTTCATAATGAGAAGAACTTATCTGAAGAGGAAGAAGAAGTTCATAATGAGAAGAACTTGTTCAACCTTTTGCATGACTCTATCACAGAAGAAGATAGATCATCATCAACTCTTTCAGAGAAAGTTCATAATGAAAAGAATTTATCTGAAGAGGAAGAAGAAGTTCATAATGAGAAGAACTTGTTCAACCTTTTTTATGACTTTATCACATAAGGAGATAAATCAGTATCAAAATTTCCAGAAGTGTTCATAATAAGAAAAACTCATTTAAAGAAGGAGAAGAAGTTCATAATGAGAAGAATTTGTTCAACCTTGCCTTAATTCATCACATATTGAAGTTGAATTAACAACCCCTCTTTTAAAGATCAACATTTCTATAAGGAGTTCATAATGAGAAGAACTCATCTGAAAAAGAAGAAGAAGTTCATAATGAGAAGAATTTGCTCAACTTTTTGCTAGATTACATCACATAAGGAGATAAATTGTCATCCCCAGTGGAAAAGTTCATAATAAGAAGAACTAGTCCCAAAGAAGAAGAACTTGTTCAACATTTCCATCCTAATCAAGAGAAGTCAAATGAACACAAATTTATTGTATTTTCGTCTTTGCCCTATTCTTGTTAACACAAGAATGGGCAAAGAGGACAGCTGTAGACACTAAATTTTTATATCATTTTTATTAGTATTATTATTTTTATTATTATTAATATTATTATTAATAATAATATTATTATTATGTTATATTATTATTATTATTATTAAATAATAAATAATAAATAATTTTATTTCAGGTCTAAAACCTGACCGGCCTAGTGGCCCAACTGGAATCAACCCAAGACTCGGAGGTCCATTTTACAACTTGAATTGGCCCAACCAAACCCTAAAACCATATTAGGGTTTTCATCATCTTAGCCAGCCGCCTTAGCTTGCTTTCGTGG